GGATGGATGAGAGCCTGAACAGAGGCCTGGTGAATTCCAATTGAATAAAGAGGCTGTCTGGTGCAGCGCTATTACAGATGAATGGGAACCAGTCATGCGTTATTGAGAAAAACAAACTTAGCTGCCTCTTTTTTATTTCAAGAGAAAAAGAGCCACTACATTAGTTGCAACTTAAATACAGGAACTGCAAGATTGGCTTTGCCATCTTGGTCTATACACTTAAGTTAATTATGCAGAAAAAGTGAAGTGGTGCAGAATTTTTTTTTATTAATTGTTGACTCACTGCACTGGTTTGCTTTCATTTTTATTCCACATTCATTCAAATGGTTTGAGCTCACCATTTAAGCTGTAAAATGATGTCAATATCCTTTTGTTTTATGTATCTAGCATGGTCCCCCCTGTAATTGTCTTTTACTACCATATCAAACAACTGGTTTCGGAATTTTTATTCTAGTCGAAAAGATAGTTTGGGGCAGCGTGATGCGCTCTTCTTTGAAATGTTATTAGGAGAATTGAAATGACAGGCTCTGCTGAGAACAAAAAGAATACAAAAGTTTTTTTTAGCCTTGATCTACTTTAGAAATAACAAGGCAGAACAAACACAACAGGAAAACCTGCATTTACTCAATTGGATAAGATGCGTCTGAAGTGAATCTCGGCACCAAGACGTTGGCGGCGTAGTCTTTTTGATTAACTCCGTCATAGGAGGGTGAAGGCAGATCTATAAAGCTCAATTTTTAACTACCTCAAAATATTTTCTTTTATCGGACTCTTTTAGTTTGTTGGTGGAAGAATTCCCAAGATGAAAGAGAGATCATTCAAATACCGTATATCTATGACTCCTGGTTCCTGAAAAGAATATACTTAACCTCAGTATTTAAAATTCAAAATATTACCAAATGAAATGTTGTTACACATATGCCTCTATAAAATATATATATATGAACTATGGGGATAGTAAACAGTAATCTAGCTCAAAAGTCAATTGATATTGGGAGCAGAGCAACACAGAGCTCTAAAACATCAGAGGTCAGTAGGATCAGATGCCATGGTGAAATAAGCATGCATAAAAAGATTTGAACATATATATATTTTTTTTCCTAAGTTAGCATCTAATGAAGTTGATCAATTTGAATTGTCCTTTTCACATCGTTAATCAATATAGAACCACTTTATTATATTAAAACAAATTAATGCCATGAAGAAAGTTTGTGCAACTGGAAAACATTCCCTTTTTCAATGGTATATAATCCAGAATAAAAAATGGTGAAAAAAGGCAGGGATATTTTGTCATCATTTTAAGACTGTCTTTACCAAAGGAGATTTTAATTTAATGGCTCTCTCTAATGTTGTAGTTTAGAATTTGTTAAATCATATTTGGCCCCAGTTACAAGTTAAGGACCCCGATAGAGGATCCATCAAAATAACAGGAAGGAGTTTGATGCCACAGAAAGGATTCAGGGGTTTATCAGATAATTAGATTCTTAGATTAATATCCTTTCTCTCCTATTTTATTCACATGGCCAATAGGCCAGTGCCATTTCTACACCTAAGGAGACAATCAGTTATCCTTGCAACCCAACATGGCCTGGTGATAACTGTCTAGGAGATAGATAAAATACTGAAATATGATATATGTCATCAGAAGATTCAGCTTGAAATGCTTGGAAGGGTAGCCCGGCCTAGTCTATTCCTCAGATGAATTTTAAGTGTAGTCTCGCAAAGTAGAAGATATATATATAGGCAAAGATTATTTCTAACATTCATATTTGAAAGGAATTGCACAATGCATGCACAGCGCCTATGTACATATTGCGTGGTATCCTTATAGTGCTGTTCATTGTAGATATCCAACTACATGTCTGTATAATTCGTATTAATTTTGATTTATTTAAGATGTAAAGGTACATAGCTTCATAACATAAAAAGTGTAAATGCAAATATAATTCACAAATTCTGCTTGATTATGACTATTTGAATTCTTGTCAAGTGTGTAAGACATAATTTGCATTAAAAAGGACACATTGCCAAAGAATATTCAGTAATTTTGCATTTCTCATGAATATGTATGATCAGAACCCTGAAAGTACACACCTATCATCTTTCAATGAAATAAGAATTCTGCACTGCTCTAAGAATCTCATGTCTCTCCAGGCCCTATTCCTTAGACCAAGTTTTTGGCAATATAGGATTAACTTTGCTAGTGTACATTTCTGTGACACCTAAACATGCATACAATAGGTGCCTAATTAATAAAATCACCATTTCACTTTTGAAAATATGTCTTATTTTTTAACCTTTCTAGCTGCAACATTTGAGTTCCTTTATAATGATTTAACTTGAAGAAGCTGTGATAGAATTGAGAAATGATGAACAGAACATTTTTTACAAACATTTTTTTTTTCTTTTTGGGGTTTAGCTTTTAAACACATTGATCAATTTCAGTAGAGGAAAAAAATTCATTTGGTGTGATACAATTTGCTGCAGCAGCCAAGAGATTCTTTTTGATAAAGTAACGAATTAACATCTTTTTTCACTTTATCAGATTTTTCTAGTGTGTGCAGGTGCATTTAATCTAAAATTGTAATGCCTTTATCCGGGAGATACCAACTTGCCATGCATGATATTCCTCTAAATAGAGATCCAAAAAATTCCTCAAATATTAGGTCAATGAAATTACATCAAAATTTATAGGTCAACACCTGATCATGGCAAATAACATTTTTTTCCAATATGTTATTATAATTTAATTTTGCTTGTATTCTTGCCTCTCATTGGTTGATTTCCAAAAAGGAACGCATAACATTTTGTATAATCTGGTTTGGTATGGGGACACACCCCCTTGACAACCAGCTGAATCATCTGTATCCATCAATCCCCTCATTTCCAGTCCTTGGGATTCATGGAAAATTCCAGATTTAATGAATGTACCTTTAACTTCAAACAGTTATTCGATCTTACCTCATGTAAACAAGCATCATGGCTGCTAGATCTGTGTATCAGTTTTTACCTCCCCTCGCTTCCCATCACTTCCGTTACTACGGTTGTATTATTGCGCGGTAAATTTGAACTCATAAAAACAACACAATTTTACATCCCCAGTTGAATAATTATTTTAAAATTAAATTATAAGGAATGACTCTAATTCTTGGCCAGATTATTGAGTATGTTTACGCTTTTTTATAATCCGCTTCGCGGATTATAAAGCGTAAACTGACCCAAACCATATTATACTCGATAATTTGGCCAAGAATTAGAGTCATTCCTTAAATAATTATAACCTTTTTAAAATAGAATTTTCTATATAATCTCTCTTTCTTTTTCATATGTTTAAATAACCTCTGTCTAAAGACGATTGGTAAGTCCATAGGTTCTCCTTTTAGTTTTTTTTTTTTATCCAATAGGTATTTTATATATGTGCTATATAAATAGCTCATTTACAGTTGCAGATCTATACAATTTTTTTATGTAAGGAATTTTAAATTTGAAAAGAATAACATTTATTAGTTGAATATATTCTGATTTTCTTCTGCATTATATCATGATTGGCAACATATATACTAATTAAATCAAAAGTCCAGATTTTGTACTGTAGACAGATGAAATAGTCAAGGGCAACAACTCTGGCAAAGTTAATTCAATTTTTCATGTTTTTAGTGTGTGAATTTCTACGTAAAGTTAAATCGAAATTAGCCTTTATGTAACATATTGATCAGAAGTTATATTAATAAACTTGAATACAGGGCAAAAAGAAATAAACTAAAGTATATTGAAAATATCATGTACTTTTCTAGAAAAATGCATTTAGTTTCAGATGTAATTTGAAGCACAGCAAGCGTCACTGCTAGCTAGGAAGTGAATTCAATAGACTAATGTATAAGAATACAGAGGAAATTTGAACTAAAATCTTAACATTCATGAGGATAATTTTTCGTGTGAAACCTTCCCAGAATTCATTCGATACCACAATTCCATGCATTAATGTCAAATATAACGTGCATAATTATGGTGATTAGGTTTTTGCAGAGAGCATAATGGAAATAAAAATAAGTTTATCTCTACTTTACAAAATCTTTTATGAAAGTATTGCACTGTTTCGACACTTAATTATGAAAATCTAGTAAATGTATATCAGATGACATTCAAGAGTGTGTGTCTAGTGTTATTGAAATTTTAAGAGGTGCATGCATGGATCTAAATGTAAACTATGTAGAAGTTTTTGTTGGTTTAACTATAAAACTGCTCATTAAAAAGAATGTATCATTAAAACACATTAATAGAATTGATATACTAGCATATAAGGGGTGGAAGGGAGGATAGTTGTGAATGCAGTTAAACAATTAAGAAACATCATTGCAGGAAAATATTTTCAAAAAAATGCATCGAATTTGAAATAAAATATTGAGAAGAAATTAGAACTCTGCATAGAATAAATTATAATAAATTTTTAAAGGAAGATCTTTTTTCTCTAACGAAGCAAAATGTCAAATGGAATAAATATATTCATTAAAAATAAAAGCATTTGAGCATGCATAAAGTGTTGTTAATTTACTATAAATTAAGGTTTTATTAATGAGATTTTAACCATGAAATTTACAAGGAGCAGCTTGCGAAGACAAGCTATGATAGAGTAACCCTATAAATTTCTCTTTAGATGACAAGAGCCTCATCCACTTCTCAACTTAAAAGCTTGATTATGACATACGATTAAAAAAATACAAGTTATGGCATCAAACCTGACTTCTTAAAGTTAAAAATACATTTGGTTACGTGAAATTACACCGCTGAATTAAACAAATTTCCTGGGAGAAAATACAAAGTAGGTTGCTTTTTTTTAAAAAGAATTGGTAGAGAGAAAAAAAATCAATTTTCTATTGTCTATCGACTTTCCATTCATGTACAGTAGGGCTATAGAGCTGGAAATTATGTCACTGTAATATGAAAAGAGCAGGGTTATGGAATGTTTTAAAATTGCTTTCTGATGACGTGAAGAGAACACGTGTTCTTAGAGAAGGTTTACCAGTTGGAAACTTATTTGTTTCCTAACCGTGATTTTATACATACTCCCATATCTTCTTACCTGACTTAACTGTATGTGCTCAGTGAACTGTTAAAGCCTGGACTAATTTAACACACTGTTCTGTTTTTTGATTGAAATCGAGCAGGGACTTAGCCGTACAGACGTCTTTTGTTTTCTTATTAGAAATATTTTGGAAGAGTGTGCTGTGCTGTTTTTCTGTAGATTTTTGTTCTCTTAACTATTACGTTTGCGAGGAGTTGATCAGCATTTTAAAAGCCATTTGAGTGGAATAAACATTGGTGGTTGTCGAAGCATATTTGTGGATTTAAATAATCACCCAAATATTGATGGCTCTTTTAATTGCTGTGCTGGTTGGGTGATAGAGACAGTGGCGTTTCCCGTTGGCCTCATATGACCTTGTTCGGGATTACATATAGATAGTGGGCCTGTGTAAGCGGGGCACAGATAACCAGACGAGTTGAAATTTGAACATCTGACACCATATTACCAGTACAGCGCAGTGAACTGACTTAGTTTTACCCAGCAAGACAGGATATTACATATCAAGAGTTTTCCGTGGAATATTACATACCACTGACATTGTGTTGTACAATTAACTTTACGTACACACGCTGGAATCTGATTGTGCCATGTATATATTACTGTAAACATACCCGAGTGGGTCAATATTTCACTGGTATTGGACAGGAGGTCATATTCTTGGCTGTTTCAACAGTAGATAAATATTCTCTACCTGATATGGAATGTGCATAATTTATTTGAAACTCGGGAGATTTGAAGTAAATGGCTTGAAGAGGGAAAGATATTAATAAATGGTTTTAGATCTTCCCACCTCGTATTTGACACTTAAGTGTTTATGACACACGTTGGATCATAGATCCTAAGAATGCAGTGACTGTACCAGTGTAAGAGTGTGCCAGTAGCATATGTAGTGTTGTTCAATGATCTAATCGTTTCGGTGTTGTTATTTGTGTAATTCAGTTGAAAGTGCTTCGTCTGGGAAATATTTCATCAGCTCAAGGATTAGAAACCAAAAAAAATCTCTTCACTCAAGGGACTTAAACCTGTAGTTTTACTTTGCTTCCAACTTATGTGATGCAAGTAGTAGTTTTATATATAGAAAAAAAGGAATCATGAATAGCATCATTTACGACGATTTCCAAGATTGGCTATATAATCCCCATCCAGTGAGTACTGTTCATCAAGGGGTTTTTCCGCCCGTGGTCAGTAGCACCCCGATGATCTCCCCTCCCCACCAGCACCCCGGCCAGCAGCAGAGGGAGAGTATGGACACCAGCGAACCCATGCAAGTGTCCACCACGGGGGATACCTACATGGACTGTGATTCATCTGAGGTGGGTTATATCAGGTCATTTTTCTCCTAAAATAGGTCACTTAGAAATCTCTATATATTGTAGGGCACGATGGAGATAATATTCTCTTATTACATAACAGTTCTACCATTGTGTCTCCAACATAATTATCTTTATTGGATTCAGAGGGGAGGACGAGGTAGCTAGTTTTTTTTTAAGTGGATTGGTAATTCAGTGTGTTATTTGAGGTGCATCTGTCTTGTAATGATAACCGATTAAAATTTAGAAAGATGAGGGGATTCCTGTAATCATTGCCCCAAACTTATAGAATCTTAAGTTTATAAATTAGGTAAATAGTCAATAAAATAGAACTTGTTAAATAGTTGTTATTTTTCCCTCTTTGGTTTTGCAATATTTTAAAAGAGAAGTTTCTGCAATTTTCAAAATGCCCAGAAGAAATATTGAATATACAAATAAATGAAGACCAATGTAAACATTAAATTAAAAAACTGATTAATCATTTGTTAGTTTTACCTCCATATTTTTCATGATAATGGAATTTTTTGAAGATATTTGTATACTTTCAGTTTTTAAAACTCCCTATGAAAATATTAAAATTTAAATACAAACATTTTAAAAAGAGAAAAAAATATATATTTTTTCACTTGTTTCAAGAATATTTAGCTATTTTTCTCTTAAGGGGTATTTCTTTTCAAAGTATTAGAAAAAAAGATTAAAATTTAAGTGTAACCTCCTTGTACTTATTTTTTTTTTTTGATTTTTTTTTTCAACTCCAAATTCATTTAGGAGGGGGGATACTATGTGTCTATAAAATCTGATAAATAGACTGGACATCCTTATTTATCTGAATTGCATTATCTTAATGTTGATGTCAAGTAATAAGTACTTATAAATAAGTTTCCTCTCCAGATTTTTTACTGTAAACAACTACCATTGTTCACCTTTAACTTCTCTTGTTTAGTACTTGTCATTGATTCATGTTTACATGCAGGCTCATGCAAGTTGATCTGTAAACAAACATGAACAATATGTGCACTGTTACTTGGTTTTTACACTGTTTATACACACCTTCAAACTGCTTATTGAAGTAAACCTCATACACCAAGACATATTTTTATTTAGAATATTGATTTTTCATTATCTGGTGTTTGTGCAGTATAAAGCACATTGAAATATTAAACTGGGTCATTTCGGAAGTGAGTATATGTAACTATTGTTTTTAATATTTCCAGATTTGTCAAGTCAAGCTGTCCCTGTTTTAATTTGTTTTATTGGGGGGGGGGGGGGGTGAATTACTGGATCTTAAAATTTTTTTGATACTGTATTACCATATCAAACCGTGTTTGTGTCTTGAAGAATAAATTGTGGAGCATTTTCCCCCACAATGAAAGGATTCATCCAGTCGTATACCTGTTGGCTTAATTAACCTTTCGTCATATCGAAGCTCTATATTTATTGACTGGTATTCCGTTATTAATCTCAATAATTGTAGAGAGTGAAAGTCAAATGACACGTTGTCAGTGCCTTCATCAAAAATCTCTTTGAAATGATAATTTGGAGACAACAAGCTTTTCAAGATAGCAAAAAAATGTCAGTAGTGGTTTGTAATTATTGATTTATTTAAAACATGTTTATGCTGTTAGGGAGATAGGACCAGACATTGCTTATCTACCAAAACCCCCCAAACAAACACTTCTAGGAGCTGTTGGCCCTAAAAAATACAATTCATTCAGTATTTTATACATATTAGAGTAATATATCAACTAAAAGTACCTGCATGAAAGTTTAATTATCAATAAGTTAAAGTGATTTCTTTTTTCATGAAATAAACAATAAAGACATATGGTTTATCTTCGTCAATGTTTCCTTATAATGAGTAATTGTTTTGATCATGTATGCATCATAATCTCAATCTGTGAATGAGTATTTTCATGGGAAAATTTGCACAATCTTTGGACATGTTTGGATAGGAGGGGAGGGACAAAAAAAATCCCCGATTTGCTGATTTTAAATGATTTCCGATTTTTACAAACGATTAAGAGCAGAGATCCACATGCATTTAATGCTTGTTTGTTTTCTGGGTGTCCATACCGTTTCAAAAAAAGTAATATCTTTAAAAAAAATTCTGTTTACATTCATGTTCTATAGAAATTGCGTTAACTTCAAGCTATTAAAGCTGCCCAAGTTATATTTTGTGTAGATTACTATAAAAAAATAAGATCCATTTATAATATTGCCTTAAAAATCAGTTGTCATAAAAGTTTATCGTCATATTTTTAGTTTGACCCCTAATGGCAAAAAGTATGTCTACTCTATTTTAAAATAACATTTAACTAAATCAAAAATTTATAATATCTCTAAGATTATAAAGAATGCTATCCACACACTGAGTTATACATTTGTAAATATTGATACATTAGAAACAGATTTCTAATATAATTTTTTTTTCACAACTCAGAATATTTTTAACAGAAAATATTTGTAGATTAAATCATTTATTATAACTACTCTTTTTAATTGATTTAAATTTATATGTACTTGACATTAATTTAAAATTATACAAAAAGAGGTGGACTTTGATTATATATAGCTATAATGTGAGATGTTAAAAAACCACATTAATATATTGTACAAAAATATATCAAAGGAAATTTAATCATACAGCATGCATGCTGTGATATTGGTAAGATGACAGTTCATACAATGTACAATAGAAATTCCTGTAGAAATATGAGTGATACAAACAAATTAATCAGGTTTTTAATGTGGTATGGTTTATGCATTAGTTGGGCAAATCAAAAATGAGACAATTTTTAAGTCTCAAAGGCAAATCAAAAATAAAGCAAAGTTTCTCAAAAAAAAAATCAAAAATAAGACCAAACCTGAAGTTTCTAAAGCAAACCAATAAACTTAAGACAAAGTTTCAGTGGCAAACCAAAATTAAGACATATTCTAATGCAAATTAAAAAAAATAAGACAGTTTTAAAGGCCACCCCCCAAGACAAATGTTTTTAAGGTAAACCCCCAAAAAGACAACATTTCTAAGGCAAACCGAAAATAAGACAAAGTTTTTAAGGCAATTAAAAATAAGACAACGTTCTAATAGATTTCTAGCTTTCCTTGCCTGCAGCTCTCCACTGAGAACGTGCTATGTACAGAATTGTCAGATTCCGTTGTAACTACTTTTGAATGCATGTAATATGTTAGCACAGAAATAAGTGACAATTAAAAGATAAGCTCTTCTTTTCTCCCCTGCCATGCTTTATAGATCACAGTCTTAAACTTCCCTCCATGAATTTTTATAATGATAAAAGCATAATAAAAAATTTAGTCTCTTCAACACATATGAAGCAGAAAGAGGGTATATACATTAAAACTGATGAACTTCAGGCTTATTTTGGCACTTAATAATGACCCAGTTATGGTGAATACTACATCATATTGGAGTCAAGTGCTTATCAAGTATTGCGCATTAAAATCAGTAATGTATTGACAGGATATGAATGTAAGTAATGATGTAACATATATTTAACTCGTGCTGAATGTATATGGATTTGCGTGTACGTAAACAATACCCTGTTTATATTCATGCTTGAAAAACGTCAACGTCAGAATCCATACAAAACATTCACACACGCTTCTATACGTACTTATATTTTAAACATTCTATTTCAGTTTTAATAGATCCCATCATTGATATCATTTTCCATGCGTCTTTATTCAATTTGCATATTTAAATTTAAAATCACGAAAATGCCTAAAGCAAGTTTGAAACAACAAAAACCGAGGTTGTATGTCAACCATAACATTTAAAAATTGGGTCAAGATGACAGTAAATGCCCAGTAATACAGATATATTCTATATCATTTTAATAACGCATTCCCATTCCTTGGAGTATATGAACTATATAAGTATACATGTATATATATCTATATTCAGACACAATAACTGCAGGCTACACGTATATCTGTGTTATTAATAAGTGGATTCACTATCTAAGCTATATCATGGTACCTTTGTTACGTACTATCATGGTACCTTTGTTACATACGACAGGTGAAAAGTTGTGAAATGCTTTTCACTCTCATAAATACATTGTTCTTTATCTTATATATAAATTTAAGATTAAAAATATCTGAACTCGTTAATAAACAAAGATATCTGCTGATTACACTAGATATTTTCATTTGTGAAAATAACTTGCAAAGTTCAATTTAGTGATTGCCACACAAATTACATTTGCAGAGGGGTTAAAGACTCCAAATGTCATCATTCAAGATATACAATTGTTCGCCAATCTTAAAGGATATGCACATCAAGGAATTTATGGGAGGGGGGATTTCAGGGGGCCACTTTGAGGCCCATAGTTTGTCCAAGTAAACCCTACTCTTGATTTTTGTAAATTTTAGAGATGTATGAAACCTTATTAAGAGAATATATTATTATTATTATTATTTTTATCACCAGAGAAAATTAGTTGACCTATATATTGCTCTTTAATTAATTTGTTCATTGTCATATTAAAAAAAAATCATTTTCTTCTCTGGAATTGTAGAACCAATATCAACGAATTTGGCACATATCATCTATAGATGATCTATAGGTCTAAATCTTAAAAAATAATTTTATCTCAAATTTGATGGGACGGAACTTTTAAGATATATATTGGGATTTGAGAGATATTCAAGGGGAAAACACTAGAATAAAGAGAGGTTAGGATCTCTCAATTACTTTGACATATCCATGTTATTGTAAGTATTCCAGATATGTGTGTTTGAGATACTGAAGTTCAACTGTATATACATAACAAATACAGTTGTTCCTGTTGTCCAGGAGAGGAGAAAATGCAAGGAACTTGACAAGGATTTGAATTCTGGCCCCCTGAATCCCAGATCAGGTGCTTAACCGATCTGACCACCAGTTATTGAACTGGCTTAACCACCAAATTCTTCCTTTCTTAAAGGTCTGTGCCACAAAAGACAGCAACCCAAGCTTTCCTTAGTCTTTTCTCCGGGCACTTCCAGGACTAATGGTCACTGACACAGCACCACATGTTACTAATATGTTGTACCAGACCAGGAGTCAAACCCAGGCTCCATGAATCACTAGACAGGTGCTCTACCACTAAGCCAGCCAGGCTGATATCCACAGTCCAAAGTAGCCCAAACTACTACACTGCATATAACATATAAGCCTTTAATCTCTCTGAAGGACACCCTCTTAATCTATTATGAAATAATAAATCTTTTATATGCATGATTCCTTACTGAACTTCTTCTGTTAATGACATTATATTTAATAAACTGTTATGCATATTACAAAGAAAGATACTGGAAACTTAGAGAAAATGTTTTAATCTTGCTTGATTATACAGTATCCAGGCCATTAATGATATGCAAATTAATGTCCAGAAATGAAAGATTTGAAGAAAAAAAAACAATATTTTGGATTCACACACATTTGCTTTAATTAAGACCTTGGAGCACAGTCAGATTGCAAACAGACAGACAAGCGTGTAACCAATATTCTCACCTATTTCTGTAATGAGCCTGTACTGGTCATTCAAGTCTTATCATTAACCTCTTTAAATGTCATAAAGTTACCCCTTAGATCTGGAAGCATTGGGTGCAGTTGAGGTGAACCTAATGAAAAGGACACTTTATCAGAGATGTTTTAAAGGTTATCTTGGTGTGTTTTAATTAGTTGGTTACTCGTTAACAATAAAATTAGGGTAACCCGCAGCCATTGGTGTTCTATAAGTGAGTCGTTTCATGGTTTATTAGTATTATGAGTGCATGTACATGTGGGTGATGCTCTGATAGCTCCGGAGGATATATTGTTGTTTTCTCAATTCCAGGTTTTGATATATTACCTGGTATCTATTTAATGTTTCTGTGTAAATTTGGATGCATTAAATACTGTAAGTGTACTTAACTGGGGTATTCAAAATTTAGCACAGTCACTGGGTATGGAGATGTTGGTGTATAATCATGAATTAATGCTATGTATGTTTGTACAGTACCATGTATCGTATTTATAAATAGTTTTTTTTAGCGGCATTCATGAATTAGCGCATCAAAGTCCATGCCAAAGCCGCTTAAATATGAAGCACATAGAGTAATAATGCACTTTAAATCAGAAAAGAAGATAATCATATTTTGACCAGGTCATTTTGTAAGCTTACATGCAAGGCATTTTCTTTTCAAGGCCAATAACTTTTTGATGATTAACAGAATGGGAGATTTGTATTGGTTTTAATCTTGGCAATCCTAGCAAAAAGGATTAATTTAAGTTCACCAGTGTACCTATATATTAACTTCCATTTAAAGGCATTAAATTGAACAAAACATTAACCAAGCTAAACAAATGTACATCCAATACCTATCAACATTTTCATTTCACGGCCCAGATGTGGAATTTTATGAGCAATATCAATATTTGGGCAAGAGCCTGTTGTGTTATTTAAACCTTTCTCTGTGGAGACCTGAACTCACAGTAAAGACACCAATAATTCCCACACATGATCGTATACTCCTTCTTTAAAATTGTTTATGTTAGATATTCATGATTTCTTTTCCTATGTAAAAATAAGATAATCTTTCAACATAGAGACTTACATGTACATCAGATCTTAATTGTGTACTGTAGTTCATATAATCAGAAATATTAATTTCCTCTTGTATATAGAAAGGACACAGTTTGGGCAAAACCATGATTTATTCAGCATTGTTACAAAGTAAACATAAAAGTATTATTCGAGTTCATGGGTAATTTTCAGCATTGTGAGAAATTACAAATCATGGTAGAATCTAAACTAATACTACTAAACTAGACATCATAATAGATATCACGCACACACCCAACACATACACACATTCGCCATACATGTTAACCTATTGTGATGAAAAAGAGGGAGATTCAGACCTGAAAAGCGGTAGCATTGTGCGCGTGTTGTTTAACGCTTGGATTATCGATATCTTCATGTAATATACATGTATATTATAAGCCTTAAATGAAATCAGGTACCTACACTAATTAATCTTAAATATCAACAGCAAAGAAGAAGACAGAAACACCTTAAGTTTGACATAAATTGTACAAATTCAAATATTTTTCATGCATGCTCATCATTTTGCTTGTATTGGCTGCTTTACTTAGCCTTTTGAAGAGCGATCTTCGCTGAAATAGCCTAGAGACATTAATTCTGAATGTTCATTCAGTTTTTAAACAAAACAAATGATGGCATGGTTTAATCTAGATCTAAAACAAGTTTGTATCTTTCGTTATATAAATCAGATTTCCCGCGATGATCGAAAACGAAAGTAGAGATGTGCCACATAGTTTGGTCAATCGAGTGATTTCTATTGACTTTATTGATAAAGTTGTGAGCTTCTGTGCTTTTAAAGACGATGTCAAATGTTTTCATCTAATTCTTAAAAGCTGTATCTCCTTTTTCATGGCAGAGATGTTGATTAATTTATCGTAACCAATGTAATCACTGGTAGTCTTATGTTGTTGTCGTTGTCAAATCCGTGCTTGAAATCTATGTACAAAAAAGCGTTTGTATGATTCCGAGTCAAATCACGCGATATCTAGCGAGATTTTATGATGGTGGCTTCAAAAATGGATACCCAAGCGAACGAAAAATACTTTAGACGCAGCTTTTGTAAAAAAGCGGTAGATATTTGAATTAAATCGGTAGGCGGGAGCTGGAGTGAAAAAGCGGTAGACTCCCGCCTAAATCGGGAGAGTTAACATGTATGCATTCGCACACATACAACCAAAAAAAAAAAAAAAAATTTTACTAAGTTTGAATTATGAAATAAAGTGACGTGGGTTCTGCCTCGGAGGAATTTCTAAGAAAGTGAGGTTAACTGGCCAAAACATGGGTTGAAATAGATGATTAAAGCAATTTGATTGGATGGCACATGGACGAATTTAAAAGCAAGAAAGTAAGCAATCTGATTGGATAATGGTGACGTTAGGTGGCGCTAGTTTGCCTCCGATAGTCGCCCTCCGGGCAGAACCCATCTTTTAATTAGCAAATAGATTCTTCCAGTGGAAGATTCCATTAAGGTAAAAAGTAAACAAACAAAAGGCAAGCGAATAAAGGAGAATACAATGTAAATTAATAATAATTAAACCACTTTAAATATAAGGCTCAGATTTCAAGGTTAACTTCACATAACTGGTCACTTGATCTTTAATTTACTTGAATATTCTCCAGCTAAGCAATTCATTTTTGCCTTTCATTATTGCGTCATTGTGTCTTACTTGTCCTGGCCATAATATTAGAACTATACAGTACAGATAATGTACTTATAGCCTTTGTAAACTTTCAGTAGATAATGGCTGACTTTGTAAATCTGACCCCTGTCCTGTACCCACTCAGGGCAAATATTATTATCATATAAAACGTGTACATAAAAATTAACCTTAGCTGATGACGGTTTCACTGTGCTGAAATTTAAGGTTGTTGTAGGAATGGAGAAGTGTATGACATAAGCAACGGACTGAAGATTTTACCTCACCACAATAATTACTCCCCTCAGAAGTGCATGGAAAATCCTAATATTAGATCAATGTCCTAATTAATTTTCAACTCTTTAGTGAAAGCAAATATTTTGTGTGTGCATTTTGAATGTCAAAAAAATGTAACTATCTTGAATAGTAAGCATTTTTACTCAGGAGCAAGGGTGCTCATTGAACATTAAAAAAGTGGCACTCAGTTCTTCTTAGCTCTATACTGGTAAAATACTGATATGTCTGTGAATTTGTTATTTGTTAACATTCTTTTTAAAAATGTTGATATGTAGACTCCAATAATTTGGTATGACTTCAATAAAAAATGGTAATTTTACTTTGCCAAATAATCATCATATTCCCCCTATTTGCCTCCAAGGTATTGCGTAATCCTTGTCCCAGTAAGAGATTACACACTTACCTGTGGCTTGTAATGGACGTGCTGCAGGTGTTAGTGTGACCTTAAGAACATACTGCTTAACGTACCGCTGATGAAATATATACACTACTCTTTTTACAGTATTTGTCTTATATCCAATTGGTTTAATCATAGCTTACAGTCTTCATATTGATTCTCATTCATTTGTTTTATATATTATTTTAAGTTATGCTAATTGATAGGAAATGATCAAGTGTAGATACATGTAATTTTTCATATGAATTCACCACTCTATGAATTAGTGGGGTGGAGATTATTGTCTTAAAATTTGCCATTTCGAACCATGGCACTTGCATTCTGATGGCCATTTAGTTTATATATCTATTAAGTATGCTCTCCTTGCAGTCATTAAATTTTCTTCATCAGAGTTCTTTGTCTATTTTTTAATTGTTATCCTGTTATTTTAATACAGTACTATGGAAGGGACGCAGCTTCCAAGAGAGAACAGAAGAGGCGACCCAAACCTAAAGATGGCACCCTGCTCGTCTGTGGGGTGTGTGGGGATAAGGCGCTGGGCTACAACTTCGATGCCATTACCTGTGAATCCTGTAAGGCTTTCTTCAGGAGAAATGCCTTAAAAACAAAGGTAACCCTTCATATGTGTTCTGATGATCCTTTGCCATTAGGCAGATGAAATAATTAATGAATATCTGTTAAATGTTTGATATAAAATGTTTTATCTTCTCACTTGATGAACACGACTCATAAAGAGGCATATGCCATACTGGATTATACTATCTAATATCAGCACCAGGGTATACTCTGCATTTGTTACACCTGACTGCTTCATTGGCAACCCGTGTTCATGCTAGTTATCTTGCATTGCCTTTGTTAGCTCACCTGAGCCGAAGGCTCAAGTGAGCTGTTCTGATCAAAATTTGTCCATTGTCTGTCGTCGTCGTTGTCGTAAACTTTTCACATTTTCATCTTCTTCTCAAGAACCACTTGGCCAGTTTCAACCAAACTTGCCACAAAGTATCCTTGGGTATAAAAGAGGATTCAAATGAAGGGCCATGCCCTCTCCCAAGGGGAGATGATTATGAATTAGTGATAAATTAATGGTATCTATTAAAAATCTTCTTCTCAAGAACCAGTGGGCCAGGAAATATGAAACTTTTGGGAAGCTTCCTCTGGTATTGAAGATTCAAGTTTGTTCAAATCATGAACCCCGTGGGTAGGGTGGGGCACAATAGGGTATCAAAGTTTAACATAGGAATACATGGTAAAAATCTTTAAAAATATTCTTCTCAAGAACCACTGGGGCAGGAAAGATGAAACTCATGTTGAAGCATCCTCTGGTAGTGAAGATTCAAGTTTGTTCAAATCATTACCCCTGGTGGTAGGTTGTGGCCACAATGTGGTATCAAATTTTAACTTTGGAAAACAATGGAAAAATCTTTAAAAATATTCTTCTCAAGAACCACTGGGGCAGGAAAGATGAAGCTCATGTTGAAGCATCCTCTGGTAGTGTAGATTCAAGTTTGTTCAAATCATGACCCCACGTTGGTAGGGTGGGGCCACAATGGGGTATCAAATTTTAACATAGGAATACATGCGAAAAATCTTTAAAAATCTTCTTCTCAAGAACCACTGGGGCAGGAAAGATGAAACTCATGTTGAAGCATCCTCTGGTAGTGAAGATTCAAGTTTGTTCAAATCATTACCCCTGGTGGTAGGTTGGAGCTGCAATGGGGTATTAAAATTTAACATAGAAATACATAGGAAAAATCTTTAATAATCTTTTTCCCAAAGACAGCAGAGCCGTCATTGGTCATAGTTATATGGAAGCATCCTCTGGTAGTGAAGATACAAGTTTGTTCAAATTATGAGCCCTGGGACAAGGGTGGGGACATTATGTGTGATCAAAGTAGGATTACATAGAAAAAATCTTTTAAAATCTTCTTAACAGCAAAGTTGTGATTGGTCATAGTTATATGGAAGCATCCTCAGGTAGTGTAAATTCAAGTTTGTTCAAATCATGACCCCTGGTGGTAGAGTGGGGCAAAATGGGGTATCAGAGTTTTACATACGAATACATGGGAAAAATCATTACAATTCTTCACAAAGTCATGATTGATCATTGATTTAAAAGCATCATTAAAGTGGATCATAACAATAAACAAAAAAGCCTTTATGTGTCATATTAATTCAAAATCATTTTTAGGAAGTGTAGATTTAAGTTTGTTCAACACCCCCCCCCCCTCGTCCCTCGAACCCACTTTCATAAGTCGTAGTGTACATGTATATTTAAACTTTTCAATACTGAACTAATTTTTGCTTTTACCAAGCTAGTTGCTCAGGTGAGCGATGTGGCCCCTGGGCCTCTTGTTTATTTATGTTATTGCAGTTATGTGTATGTGTGTTTGTTTGTATAATGCACTGTTCTGTGCAACTATTGTAAATTTCTTTGATATCTTTTTCTCCTGCCTTGGATGAAGTACACAATTTTTGTCAATACCAAGAGTTGAGTCAATCTGTCTACACAAGTGACAAGTGATTACGCTAAGCAGAGACTAAGTGAGCGGCTTATATAGGGGCCCTCAGATAAAGCTACTGAATAAAGGAATATGGTGCTCAAATTCCTTTATTCACTGGCTATATATATTTGTATTACAAATCATGTTCAGCTTAAGCTATAAGAATAAAGGTTTTATTATCCCCTTGCAAGGCAGTTGTAGGGGATATAGTAACATATCTGTATTTGGGTTAGGTTGTCCTTGTGTTTGTAACAGAAATGTTGTAATTTGCATCAGGATTGCTCCCTTGATGTAGAAATACAAGGGGCTGCTCTACTTTGAGGTGCCCTATGTTCTGATTTTGCGAAGCCAAAAAATAATATTTGTGTTGGTTGATGATTTTTTTTGACAGGTTGTAGGGTTGGAGAATCAAAGTATATTGAACATGATTAACAATCAAATAAATCTAGGTTTACTCAAGGACCAACTTACACCTAAATTAATTAATTATTAATAATGAAACATTGGTGGTCATTTATCAGATATATGTATTGCATTACATGTACTTGTTTGATGCAGTCATCTCAATCCGATGTAGATTCCAGCTGAGATTTACAGGATAGGTACAATGTACCCTGAAAATGGCTTTGTAGAGGACTAATTTAAATTTGTTACATCTTCAAATCTAATTAACTTAAAGATAATAATTTTATGATCCTTTTTAATGACAGAGAATGTCATTTCTTGCAGGCAAAAAGTTTGTAGTTGTTACAATTTTGTAACATAAGAAACAGTTACGTATTAAACCAGAAATTTTCAGGGGGAAAAATGTAGGGTGAGGAATTTGACAGAAAAAAATAGGGTGGGTCAGGTAATATAGTACATTTTGTTTATTTATTTTTTATTTGCCTGTTATAAAATATCTTTGTATTAGTGATGTCAAAAAAGTGATAAGATGGAAACAGAAGATATAGAAAAAAGGAAAAATTCTGATTATGCAATATGTAAATTTTGTTTATTCATTTATTGGTTCAATGGTACTTCATGCACAAAGGTCACTGATTTCAGGAAAAACATGCATTCAGTCAGAGTTGAAAAAATCGTTTTCATAAAACAGTAATTTCACACTGAATTAGAAAATACTGTATTTTTTTTACAATTTAAATATTATAATTTACTGGTACAGAATAATGACACAATCACTACTGTAGATTGTCAGAAGTATTTTCTCAATGTTTAATCAGTGTATCCAGGCATTGATTTATTTGAAATGCAAACTCTGCATAATTATATATATTTAATGCTGTGTCCCTTTGAAGTACCAATAAATAACATGCATTACAGGAAAAATCCTCAAAACTTGATAATGATTTAATCAGAAGCAGGGTCTAAGACTTTGCTTTGATCAAATTTGATGTTGAAACTAGCAGATATTCAAAGTACTGTAAGGATTGGTACAGGTTACTCTCACTGCCATAAGTGTCTTCGTTATTAAATCATGCAGAGTAAACAATGGCACCCTAAAGTCTACAAAATTTATTTGGAATCAAATAAGTTGGAATTGCAAAACAACAAAGGATGCATTTGTATGAAATCATTTTAAAAGTGTTTTATACCAAAATGGGGCTTTTTTATCTTTGAATTCATATACAAATCATAATACAAAGTTATAAGCCTGAAAAACTGTAGATACAAATTACATGGCAAATTTGCAAGCATATATAATTGCATTCTTTATTTTTTACTTGTCATATCAAGAATGGCTTGCTCTGTAATTGAATTTTTCTACCGGTATTTTCTAACTGCTTTTTCCAGTTCACATTCCTAGTTAAATTTAAAGCAAAAACATTCTGAAGTATTTACATTAGTCATGGTACTTATTAATTTTACTTGATGCATTTAGAAGAACTGGGTATCTGACGATGAGCTGGAAATAATGAAGATGTATAATTATAATGTTTTATTTGGACTCTTTCAGGTTTTTGCTTGCAGCTTTGATGGCAATTGTAAGCTTGACACCCACACACGAAAATTTTGCTCTGGCTGCCGTCTTAAGAAGTGCTTTGACATCGGCATGAAGAAGGACTGGATTCTAAGTAAGCAAGATATGCTTGATCATTTGTACATAAGGATTACATAGAACTTGATCTCTCTTCTAGACAATAGATATTTATACCAGGCCTCAGGAGCAGCAGTAATTACTTTGCACACTGTAATTCATTGTATCTGATATTATGGTGTCATTTTGTAGTACCGGGCACCTAACAATGATATTAAAGCTTCTTTTTGATTAGACATGCTGCAGAGTTTAACTAGTAGGCAAAATATTCAGCAAAAAGGACATATTATTCAATCAGTTTGTTTTGAGTAAAAAAGAAATCCAGGATGACATTAGACAAAATGACCATATGTAAAATATATGATAATGAAATAATTTTTTAAAAAGTACATGCATGTATTTTCCTCTCTTTCTGGGTCAAAGCTTCATGTTATTTTTAAAAGCTTTTGGTTACTCAATATTCAGAATCAAAAGTATCATATTGCGATTGTTGTGACAAATACAATAAAATTCAGACACTGCAAGTTCTTGGGTCAAAAACTAAATATGTTGCGTTTCGATGGCATCTGTTTTCATACACCCGGGCCTGGTTCTGTGTTTTTTGTGAACTATTTCCTATGCAATTGTAGCTATGCATTGGAATGCATGAGCTGTAGGCAAACTGGTAGGTTGATTGGTCTCATGTTACAGGAAACGAAGACACCTAAATAGAAAGATCTACCTCTATCACTGGCAGCCTACCAAATCTGTTATCAAATTTTAGTTATCATGTACTTTCAAAATGTTTAGATGTAATCAATATGTTTTATATGCTGGTATGAGGTATTAACTTCAAAGAATGTTCGTGGTACCACATTTGATATACCCTTGACTTAGAATTGGGTTCAAAATGATGACTGAACTTTAAATGTGATGAAAATTTTATTCATTTGAAAACACAAATAAATATTCTTAGTGTTAAATCTAGACCCTAAAAAGGGCATGGTAATCAAGGAATCAAAAGGGCCCTTTGTGTCGCGACAGGATCTCACGAGGGCACTTTTAAAACAAATGTTAATGTCTTTAAAATTATATTGAACATACTTTAACATGTTTAATTACTTCTGATATCCTTTCATAATGAAATCTTTATCTAAACAAGTAATTTGAAAATAAATTCATATATCTGTATTCTATTCATTTAAAAATATATATATACCAACACAATTAGCACACCTGGGCTGACATGACAATTACTGAAACAAAAAGAATATAAAAAAAATATTTACATCCATTTTCTTTAATCAAAAAATTAGTAAGGTTACACTAGAGAAAGTAATGGTATTAATCTAGCTAAAACAAAAATTATTACAGTGCAAAAATTATTCAAGTTTGGCGGTATGACTTTTTTTACCTGCTTGGAATGTGTTATTTGTGTACTAAGTACAGTCATTTTAAATATTAAACAAAAATACTTTTTTCCAGGAAAGGGGGGGGGGTGCATTTTGGATAATACATGTAGAGACCATTCTTTTTACTTGGAAAATATTCTACTGACATGATCAAGTGAAAACTTATCTTACTCCCCTCAAAAATAAATGCCATGTAAAAAATTGTTTTTCTTTTTAAAAAAAACTCGGGCTTAAATGAGAAAAATGACCATTACTCTCATCTTGTCAAATCTATCCATTCATTCAAAGAAACTAACTTACTTTATTGTTTTTAAGTCTTTTTATCACATTACACTCAGTTTTGGGTACAATGTAAGTTGATTTTATTCAGATAAAATACCAGCTTTTTCTTCAACTATGTGTTTTATTCTACTTTCGATTTAAAAAAAAACGATCCTGATTTTAATTAGTTAATACTTTACAAGTTAATTTATCTTTGGTCTTGGGCTAATTCTTGCATAATTAATGCAATCAAATGACAGTTTCTCAAGTTAAATCCTGTACCCTGACAGCCTGAGGCATGTTAATTTGCCAGGTGGCTGTGTGCGTGCGTTCAAGCGTGAAGTGATTTCCTGTCGTGAATCCACTCCTCGTGTGTTGTATAAACAATAAGGGATTATCAGCATGCACTAAATAAACAGAACAGCTAAGGAATATTGCCTCAACTGGGTATATTTATTAATTTTTGGTTAGGAAATAAGGGCATGGCGCTGGAAAAAAGGGCATGGCGCCTAGAAAAAGGGGCATGGCGCCTCGCCATGCTAGTTTGCTTTAGATTTAACACTAATTCTGGATGTCTAAATAATGTATATATAAGTCATGCTTGTCTGCAAATCTCTATTTTAATGAAAAAGATAAATTGAGACTATGGACAACTAAATTAAATACACCCTGAATATAAAAAAAAAAGTAAAATCTGAACAAGGTACAAATATTCTGTATCCCATGTGAAGTGTTCTAAAATAAATGTAATGCAAAAGATTTGTGGAAATTTGACTGTAAGCTCTTGTATTTCGTACTTGATTTTATGTATTGATAAGGTAGATGAAATAACATCGAATTTAATTTTTTTTAAAAAAGGCATAACAATTAAATTGGTATGAAATGTGTTGGTCAAATCTGACCCAATGAAAGATTGCCTACAAGGTCATTATAACAACCATAGGTTTTATGCAAAGTGTAGATGTTAGTTGGCCCTTATCCCCTCTACTGTATATGTATTTAAAAAAGAAGGAAAGGTTTAATTTCATTTTCCTCTTTTCCTTGTAGGTGAAGATCAGTTGGCAAAGCGTAGACAGAAGCTTACAAAGCAGGATCGAGCCAAACTTCGTAAGATAGAAGAGCCAGGATGTCCGGTCACAGCTTGTCCAGAAGTGTCCACCAGCAACTACCACTCGGACGAGTCGTCGTCTTACAACCAATCCCCTCCCACAGAGTTATCTCCCTTCAAATCAGAAATGGATGATGATGACTACCCAAGACCGTTGCCCGAGGACATCCGCAAAGAAATTCAGAATTTGGAGGAGCAGTACGCAGCGGTGTTTGACCAGCCATACAATGAGACCCAATTTAGGAAACTGACAGAAAGTCCCCGGTCAGCTAATGACCTTTTCAATTTAACAGACATATTTATTCGTAGATTGATCAAGTTTGCCAAACATGTACCAGAGTTCAAGCAGCTACAGCAGGAAGACCAGATTCATTTACTTAAAGTAGGTTTTATCAATTTATATGTATTGCATTACATATATTTTATTGCACAAAATGATTATCCCTAAGATATTAGCTCCTGCACTGTTGAAGAACAGACTAGTATATTCATGAACAAGTTTCTTTTGGGATTTGTCTGTCCGTCTTTTTGTCTTTGATAAAAACATTTAAAATGTTTACTACTCACAGAATAATGTTTTACTCATACAGGTCCATAAATCAACTCGTTTTACTGTTTTGAACTGATTTTAATAAATGGATAGTATATATCTTTTAGAATTCTAATCCTCTTTCAGTTTTCATTTGATTCAATGAAATAGTACAATATAGAATACAGTATAATTCATTTCATTATCTTCATTATGTAAACGAACATTGTTGCAATAATTGGAAATTGTAGGAAAATCCTTACATTTAGGTGCTCCTAGCCCGATGAAGTCGAGAACCTACAACATCAAGATAATTTTGTCGTATTTATTCATGTAAAACATTTAAGATGATTCAAGTCAATGTGAAAGTTCAGACCATAGAGCTACAATCCCATTAGAGACTTCTCATTGAATAATTGAAAAGGAACCTATTCAATTTCAATGTTTTTCCATGTATCAAGTTTCTCAAACTAAAGCATGCACCTATCATGTGGGTATACATTTAAACCTTTATGGATATATTAGGGAATAGCATTGTCCAGTTGAAGGCCATGAGCAAGTATTTTTATTATCAGAATAATCAAGATGACTTGAAACAAAATCTTGAATGAATATTGCCTAACTTTTTTTTTTTTTTTTTTGAGTAGTGGGATTTTTGAGTAGTGGGATTGCAAACAAAAATTGCCCAAATAAAAATGGACTAATAGTATCTGTAACGAAAAATAATCACAAGCCACACTGGTCAAATTCATTTAATATTTATGTAAATATCTATAAGATGAAATCAGATTTTTCATTATCAGAAAGCATTAAAAATAAACTTTCAAGGTTGTTTAGACATGTACAAGTACATGTAAATGAAGCCATGTTTTATATATTTACTTGATATATGTGTTTATATTCATTACTTCACAGTGCACTTTTACATCATCTACTTAGGTTTTGATTGATGAATTGCTCAATATCAGGATTACACTTTCCCTTTCAAAAGATAAGCAAGAAACTCTAGTTTCAGATATTTTATCTTGCCGTGCTGGTATTTGGAACATTGCAGTTAAGAAAATTGCCAGAAACATATTATGTAACTTCCTATCTGTTTCCTCTCAACTATCTTGTCCCCCTTTTCCTCCTCATTAAAAATTGGGTGATTTTTTAATGCTGTTTTTCAGCAACTGTTAACTTTCATTGGGTTAGTGATTTAAAGATTTTTCTAGAAACTTAACTCATGCCTCTATGTTAATTGTAATGAATCATATGAAGAATGGCAAATTAATCCATTATCTTTGTACAAATATGTATCTGAAACATTTATAATTCATTAAAATGAAGGTACCAAAATTTTAAAATTAATACCAAGACTAGCCGTCTGTCTAGACATTTACAGAGAGAAGCATTGTAGGTCAGCCATGAAAAAGTCATATTTAGAACTTGATGAACCTGTGCTATTTTCTTACATTACATCAACCTTCTTGCTCTAATGCATTGTAATTTTAAATTTCATTTTACCCAGTTTTTCACATCTATTTCTAGCAAGACAATTATGTTGTTAACCAGAAAAAGTTTTTCAAATTCTGTTTTAAATGGAACCTAATCTGCCATAATAAATAATTGGTGGGCTTTGGGATACCAGATGAAAGAGCAGATTGGTACCATTGGTGTGAATTATTGATGATAAAACGTGTGTGGCATGAAAGAAAAAATCCCGCTTGAATGTGAATCTTTAATGACTCTTGTCTAAGATGATGAAGATTATTTTTCAACCTCTATTTATGGGGAAACAGAAATGGAAAGACTTAATTCACACACAAGATAATGAAAAGATTGCAGCATTAGATGTACTAACTCCTTGATCTATCTTTGCACTAAACCTCCCACTTATGTACCTAAGGTCTTATTTATCAATTCACAACTAACATCAATGTCAAGTGTACTTTCCCATTTCAATATTTTTAATTGCTGTTCCTTACATATTTTTTAAGTTCTTGGCTTATAATGGTTCCAATTTTTGACATTCACTTCAATCATGCTTTTTATACAAATGTTTGTCTAATTAGAATTGCTGTTTAGAGCACTTGTGATATCCCCAGATTCTAGGTACTACAGGGAAGAAAATGGTATTTTGACCCAAAAATCTAATGTATTTCATGAGGATTTCATTAATTAAAGTATGTGTTCACTTTTCAGCTGTAACAGCTTTGGTTGCATTTATTTTATTTTTCTCATGGGAAAAAATTATTTAATTGATAAATTAAATTTCGAAAATTAAAATTTTTGAAGAACTCAACTTTTAAGGTAACTTAAGTGCTTCTCTTTCTAGTATTTGACTTTAAAGGACTCGTTCACTCAGCCATGACAAAAAAATACCAGAACATATACTAAATGATACATTAGTGTATGACAAAGGAATTTGTTAATTCAATATAGACCTTTGATGCATGGTCTTTTGTTTGCTAGTTGGCAATCAACTCATAGCAATCATTCAGTAAGTCAAACTGATAAAAAAAAAAAAAAGGACACTATTGTTTTGAGGAAAAAATAAATAACTAGGGTTTTTAAAAAATGATTATATATGGTTAACTTTTTACAATTTCTAAATGTTGTTTTAATTTTTCCTTATTTAATTAAGATTTATTCATTTCTAATTTAAATTAGGTCATTATGCCATGTAATATGTAGATGAGCACTATGCTTTATGTTTAAACCCCTGCAAGGAATTTTATAATCAACATGCAAGTCATTCTTTGGATAGCCTACTAAATTATCTTAAACACAATCTTGTATATGGGGCCATCGATCCACTATCATAAAAATAATTGTTATGCCAGAAACATTTTTCTTGTTTCATTCCTTATCTTTGAATAATGAAATCACCTTAGGACAAGTTCTGGTTATTTAGCTGAATCCTAAAATGAATTTAATGTACTGCATATCAGGAAAACAACACAGGGCTAGCACTGTTAATCAACATGAAACGGCAATTTATTACCTTAATGAAAATACTTAATAATCAGATACAACTTGTGAAGCCAGTGGCTTTTAAGTAATGAAATTAAATGACACATGAAACAAAATACATTGCAATATGAAAAAATAACTAAACAATATATTTTTTTTTACTTTCTTTCAGGGAGGCATCATGGAAATTATGGTTTTGCGTTCAGTGATGGGCTTTGATTCACAGTCCATGGGATGGAAAGTGAGAGGAGGGTTATCGCAAAATAATAAAATATGTGAAACACAACTTAGCCCAGAAATGATCAAAACGATGGACACCCACATGTATTCAGACCATGTGAAATTTGTCATGAGTCTAAATCAACTCACAAAAGCCAACAAAACCATATTGACCCTACTATTCGTGATTGAATTATTTTCCTCAGACAGACCATGTCTCAAAAACAAGGAGTTAGTGGCCAAGGGACAGGAAAAGTTTTCTACCTGGCTTCAAGCCTACCTGGAGTCCATTTATCCCGTCAGCGAAGCCCGACAGCTGTATCCCAAGCTTCTAATGAAGCTACTGGACGTGAGAAGTCTGGGAGAGTCCAGTGCTCAACTGGCCTCCCACCTTGATATTACACGACTCGAACCACTGCTAGTGGAAATCTTCAGCTTACAAAAGTGACATAAAATGGCACAAAAAAATGTGAGGTTAAACAGGAGTAAACAAACAGTAGTATGTTTTTACATCAACGACCTTGTACAATATGGCATCATCGTGCTCTTAATGTTGTCTTCTTGTTCTGAAGCACCAGGCTCAGGCAGCTAAGCTATTATTATTGTCTTGGGATGGGGAGTAGGTTGGTAAGGATAGAATTATTCCTACCACAATTAGGACCAAGACTTCATGTATGAATGAATTGCAAGTCTGTAATATTATAGGAAATTTAGCATGCTGTCTTGTATTTAACAAAGCTGTGTGGTTATCTAGTGAAATACAAAGCTTATTTTTAGCAAAGATACTTTACAAATTAAGATGAGTTAATCCAATTTTATTTCCTTTAAAAAGGGGGGTACAGATTAAAATTAACTCCCCAAGGAGGGATTAAAGAAGCTAAAATTTTCATGATTTGTAGGCTTGCTATAAGTAGAGAATAGTGCATTTTCGGAAGCTTTTGTGTGTTATAGTTCTTGCCTAGGTTTGTGTAAAGACATTTCAGTGGCATGATCTTGACTGTTGAGCCTCAGGGAGGACAATAAAATGTTCAGGGAATCTTCAGGCTCGGCAGCACCTACCTCTAGAGTATACTCACAATGTATTACCCATCAGCCACTGCAACATTTCCCATCATTCACTGCAGTATCCTGCTTTCTGTTTTCATGTTCAGCTTTGTGTTTAATTGCTATCATAGTAAATTGCTTATTTTTCAAAAACAATAAGAGCTGATGCTGTTTGATCTGCATTGCTTTGTGTGTGTATAAATCAATTGTAACATAAACAAAAAAAAACATATCCCTAGAATCTATTGAATATAGCATATCTTATTGTCGATAACATTTTTAAAAAAAATTCAGTGAACTTGTATATGTTGTAGTTTACAACTGGAAGTACTGTCATTACACAATGATCATTGTTGCTAAGGTCATTTCACACCAGGTGAAATACGTCTGTTTGTTTGTGTGTATACATAGGCTTCATCTCGTTCATAGAGAACTTACAACCTTGAATGGCAGAATTATTAGGTGACGTACATCACAATTCAAGACACAGCAAGAAAACTGGGTCCCAATAGTGTAATATTAACAGAGAACATATCTATTGATTTTTGTCCCGTTTTGACGTAAGTGATTATTGATCTGCCTTTACGACCCAGCTTGGTCAAAGGTGCAAAATATCAAGGTTGTGGGGAGCGAATCTACTGCCTTATTATATGTGTACCGGTTATAGTGTGGTTTATGGCATGCTTGAGAATGGTGCTTGAATGCTATTTTGTGTGTTTGTTCAAATATGTTCTCGTAAAATAGCCTACCCTAAGGTGGTAGAGTGAAATGTTTGCTCTGTATGTGTTGAAGAATTTGTTATATTTATGACAGGGAACACTGTCTTTTTTTATTGCATTCGCCATGTGAATGTACCCTGTTTGCTTAATAGGGCAAATAAACAACATCTTAAATTGTTCAGATTCTAGTTTAACTTTTGTATAAGGGGTGATATTAATATTGATAGTACAGAGTTTTTAAAGCTCTGCTCAGTTGTTCCTAGTTATGAAAAAAACCCAGGAGTTGTTATGTGACGAATATCAATTTGCACTAAAAATTATTTTACTTTTAACTGATTTCAAATCAAGACATAATGAAATGAATAGAATTTTAAAATTCATCTGAAATGTATTTGAGGGAATGTAATTATCGGGCTTATAGTCAATAAGTACATGTATTGATTTCGACTTTATTTACTGTAGATAGTAGTAAATTAGTAAGGAGAGAGAAAAAGAATGTAAAAATCTTATCATCTCAGTAAGTTTTATCAGATACATTAATTAAATATGCTGCATGCACACATTGTCCATGTTCACTGTTGTGACACTGTGTACAAGGCATTTATTCCACTGTGATCTAAAAATGTTTCCGGTGGATCAAAGTATATCTGCACCATGGAGGTGACATTTGGAGAAAAACAATATTGGTCTATGTTTTAGAAAGAGACCCTGAGGGAGAAAACTAATGTTATGGATGTCATAATTTTATAGTCTGTTGTGTACTGTTGTTACCTTTAACCAAAATGAATTCTGATTTTTAAAGAATGAGAAAAAATTTAAAAGATAAAATTGATTTTATTCAATATTTTCTACATGATAAAAGTGCTAATATTTAAAGTGTTTCTGTAGCAAATGTTATTTGTAGACATGTTTTGTATTTACCTTATTTGTTAATATTGGCTTTTTTAAAATAAAATATTTTTATTGCCAAAAATTATACAAAATAACATTTTATCCATGACTATGTACTTGTATTGAAAGTAGCTCAAATTTACTTTTTGTAAACTTAATGTTATACAGTGTTATACAGGTTTTTACATTAGGGAAAAACAAGAATATTGTTTTCAATTCTCTATTGTCATGGATATTGTAAAAACCTTTTATCATTTTTTGTGTATCCACACTATAAAATTGTTTATAAGGTTATAATATTGTGACGCTCAAAAAAGCATAAAAATAAAAAAGTATGGGTGACAACAAAAGAGGTTATTTTTGTATTTCTTTGGGGAAGGGGGATTCAATCTCACACACGTTGTACTTGTTTGGTGCATTCAGTGATATATATTGAGGTATCTTGATCTTTAAATAAGAGAGGTAACTCTCACTGGAATTCATGGCTCATTCATTTAATTTAAAAACAAATCAGGATAAAAGGTGATTTTGTCAAAATTTGCCTCTTAAGATATGCTTATTTTTTTGACGTAGTTTATTATCAAATAAAGCCAAATTTTAGATGTTAGCAGAGGGATGCTGAATCAAAATAAAGCGCCACATAAAAACGTTTCTTTTGCTCCTTTTTATTTCTTTGTAGCTCAGTCTGGTGAATTTTTAAAGATATTTTTTATAAATTTCTTATAGATGAGGATAAATCACAGATCCTGGAAGCGTTGCATAAGTTAAGAGAATTTTATGCCTTCGTATTTTTATCGTGTTTTAGTATGAGCCAAAGACGTACAACTATCTACATTGTGTTTTGGTTTATTCCGTTCTCAAGTATGCTCTAGATCTATTATGATTCACATCTGCACATGTAGAAAGATAAAGTGTTTATTAAACATGACCTGACGACCTTAGCAGGTGTTTGATTTGTGTTGTTCTATATATAGGAAATTGGTTAAAGTATACCATACAGTTATTTGTTAAGGTATACTATACAGTAATTTGGTCTCTACTTCTCTATGGACATTAAAATCTCTAATATGTTGTGTATTGGTTGACAGAAAGCTCTAACAGTATTTGGCATTGATTAAAAACAAAACTATTGAAGACATCAATTTTGCATCAGTTTTACATTTTCAGGATCTGGTTCATTTATCTGAATAAGAAACTAAGTTAATGAATTTAACAGCGTTATTGTCTTTCTCCTCTCTCCGTGTGAAATTCGGTTAACACGTCAGGTCGAATGGGTTCGCTGAAACGTGGAAGGGGTTGCTTCAGACTGCACAAGTAGTAAATATTGTTTGTTCCGTAAATAGCGGTTATGGGACACTTTTGACTTGAGAATGAAAAGAACGCTATTTGCTTCAGTAGAACTAAATACTCAGATCTCTGAAGGCACTGTCTGTTTATTTGGAGTGACGTTAGGACATTGTGCAACTTATAATTGATCATGACCATGAGAATTTTTTTTTTCTCTCAGATTTAAGACCGTGGTTCCCTATCGTCTCTGAACAAATAGTTCCCCGTTTTTCGTGTACAATAGATTTAAAACCCTGCGCTTTTAAAAGCATAATAATTCATTCATATAGCACAATCGTCAAAAAGCCCTACCCATACCCAAATCCATTGCTATTTGGTGCAATGACAAGAAGTAAGATTCATGAAAATTCACTCTCGGGGACCATGGAATACATGTACAATGGATTCTTAAGAGAATAGCTGCTCTATTTTCCATTTGAGAAATATGGTTATTAAAAGATTAATTCAAAGTTTTAAGCTATTCATATCATGTTTGCCAAGAAGTATGAAATATATGCACGACGCCTTATCCGATATCAAAAGGCTCCTGGGCCACGGCAATAACCAGGTTTACATGATATACCGGTAATTACCCTTACCAAGTTTTAACTTTCTATGGTTAAAAATATATTTCCTTCCAAGGTTTTGTATAAATGTTGCAAAATAATTCTTATCTCTGAATTATGGAATTTCATATACGACAGCCAACTGCTCTCTGCCCATTGTTTACTGCCCACGGCTTACTGCCAACTGCTTCTGGTTATAGATGGCGTTGCGTGTTTTGTTAATTTTTCCTCTTTAATATAGGCATGCTTGAATAAACTATGGCATCAAGGATATTACAATAATTACAAGAAAAAAATGCGGTTTCAGGGATTTTTAAACGGTTAAGGCGAGGAGGGAATAACGAAGAGGAAAAATGTGTAACAAATGGCAATTCTATTGTCATGTTTTATTTAATTTTAATTTAACAGGGTTAATGAAAGTTCTGAAAAGTACAATATGACAAGGTACAAATGTATATCTAAATCCAAGTAATACTACTTATGTACATGCGAGATCAAGACATTGTTTTAGAACTCATTTATACTACATGTACTCTATGTAGTTTTTTCATGTCGGCATTTACTGATAAAAAGTGCGCATGAAATATGGCCCTGGGAAAAATTAATGTCTAATATAAAGATGGATTGACAGAATTTGAATGAAGGGAAATGTATATTTAAGAAATTTCAGCGATTGTTCTTCTAATTATACACCATTAAAATCTCCATGTATACCAGAAATTATCACACCTCGTAAATTCCTTGTCAAGACTGTATTTATGGTTTTTGAGATCTGGCCAAAATTTTTATTACCTGTGAAATCAAATAATTTTTTATGAGTGAAAGTGTATAAATTCAAGTTTCCTTCTCTTGTGATTGCATAAAAAATGCTGTAAAAATAAGATTAATGCAGTCATATCTATATCCCATTAAATGGTTTTAAAGGTCCTTTTTTATTTATTATTATTTATTCATTCTACATATACAAAAAAGAAAAGGCTATTTCTATACTGAATATTCAGAATTTAAAAAAAATTAGGAAAACTTGCTTTGTCATACTAAACCCATCATTTACATATATATGGACCATTAACTACCACTCATTCAGAAATAAAGACATATTCTTGTACACATGGAATAGTAAGTTTCTTTTCTTTAAACGTCTTTGTTATAGCTCTTATTTTACCCCCCTCTGATTCCGTACAAAGAAATTTTAACATGATTAAAGAAAAAAGATATCAAAGAAACGGGTCGTATGGCATTTCTGAATGCCAAAATATGTAATTTCCCCCTCGGATGACAAAGCTTATCAAATTTTATATCTTTCAATTCCTTCAATTTAAAACGTTTTAAACCTTTTGAAAGTATCTAGTAATTAGTTTGTCAGACTGCTTAAAAATTAAATTAATTTGTGTAAGTATTTTTTTTTTTTATTGTGGTCCTTAAAACGCTAACTCTGATTTCATTCGTTAGGTCTTGCTGCTTTTGGAATATTTTGAGCTGATTGAAAAAGTAAAAAGTTGCGCTGAGTTAGAAATAATCACTTATTAAGCGATGTTTAGCAATGAACAACACTATAAGAAACGAAGAGAGACAAGCAAATTATAATAACATATACTAGTACGTGTATAGACAATGTGAGGGGATTATTGGAAGCCAAAGGGGGGGAGCATTTTGTATTTGCTATCTATTCAATTCCCTGCAAACTATACTTAAGAAGCTGGTTTATTTTATACGCTTTGGCACCTTTTTCATGTTTGACTCCCATTTACTTTGAATAATTGTAAATGCTTATACCGGTATATATATTTGTATTAAATTTCTTCCCTAGGGGAACACTAATAAAATCAATTACTTAAACGATGAAGACGTTGTGTAAGATTAACCGACATATATTTTGATGGAATCAATATTTAACAAGTAATATTCGCACAAATGTACTGCAACCTGAATAAAAATGATTTCAGTCCGACCCAGGTGTTTCTATGGAAAGACGGCGGGTTCAAAATTCAAAGTTACAAAGTGAAAATAACGGAATATCATGTATACTTCGCTAGGAGGATTAAAATGAAAACCGAAGGAATTTCACACTAGTTATGATAACAAAAATTACTGTCCCACTCGTGAAATACATTTTGTACACTGACAATATCATGTTAAAATGGGCATGTAGTTAGTAAACATAATAAATAATATACATTTATTGACTGAGTTCGAGGGCAACATGCGTTTTGTCGGACCCAAGAACCAAACTTTGTCCGAGAACATTGTCAATAAATTTTTGTTATACCTTTCTTTTCATTTTATTTTTTGACATGCATGTACATGTATTTTGTACTGTCTTCCGTGATGTATAAACCTCAGGTCCATCAATGTTGAACACCAACGAAAGAAAATGAGATTAAGCTCCGCCCATTCTGTGACGTTAGCGGTCCAACATCTCATCGACCGGTCCAATATCTCACTCAGCGCTCAAACGAATTTTTAAAGGTATAACAAAATGTGTTGTTATACCTTTAGAAATGTTCCTATACAAATCTATACGAAAAAAGTCTAACATTTCTAATGTTTTGCTGAGCGGGCATAAAAAAATTTGATGTTTGACTGCTGAGTGAGATGTTGGACCGGTCGATGAGATTTTGGACCGCTTACGTCACACAATGGGCGGAGCTTAATCTCATTAATTTTGCATTAGTTGATGTTTAACAGTGACGGGCTGAGGTTTACATCACGGAAGACAGTACAAGATACATGTGTGTCAACAACAAAAAAATATATATATTAAAATAAAAGGTACTAGTATATAACAAAACACTTATCGACTGTGTTCTCGGGCAAAATGCGTTTTGTCGAACCTCGAACAAAATGTCTGCCTTCGGCTTCACGACCTCAGGCAAACAAACAGTTTGGTTCTTGGGTCCAACAAAACGCATGATACCCTCGAATTCAGTCAATAAATGTATAATGTAACACTTAAATTACAAACAATAAATGAACATTGCAGGAGTAGGTATAACTGGGATTTGGGACCAAATCTTTTCAATTAAAATGTTTAAGAAGGATATGATCGAAAATTGTTAAATTTAAGAAGCTGGGAGTTGGTGGAATAGATTTTAAAGTATATCATCATTTTGTGTATGAAATTTCAGGCCACATGACATAAATGCACCATGCTTTAATTTGCAAACCAAGTAAGACTTTTTCCTTAAGCAGTTGTATAACAATGCACAATTGTTATAACAAGAGAAGGTCGACATGAAACATGTCTGATTAAAATAAAAATACACCTACATACAGCGTTACAGATAAATCAGGAGGAACACGACTAGGAGGTGAAAAACACTTTACTGATTCGTAAGTTTTCAAGAATTATTTTTTTTTAGCTGATCCCTCTCTGTTTCTAGAAAAGGACATACATTATTATTATACTTTAAATTTGTTTTATTACTGACTCTCAGTACAATTATATATAGTGTGGCTTGTATATAGAATAGAACCAGCTGTTTCTGACGAGACTGTAGCTCTACAGCACTACTGTACTTTCTACTGGTTTTATACTTGTATGTATAAAAATGGAAGAGAAAAATATAGAACTTATACTTGAAACTTGGCAACACAATAAATAGAAAACTGATTTTTGGTTAAGTTTATGGCATGATAATGGCAGTCAACTAAATCTGTAGGAGGAATAGCCATTTAAAAGAATTTTTATATGTGCCAAGTTATATTGAAATCAGACCAAACTGTAGAAGGAGTCGTGACGTTTTGAAATCATTTCACGTAATTTTCTATTTTTAGTTACAATGACAACACCATTCTTCAAAATCAAATGCTGATAGAGAGAGTTATGTATCTTAGTGTAGCCTACTTGTGTGCCCAGTTTTATCGAAATCAGACCAAATATGTAAGGGCGTTTTGAAAGTAATTCAAAGAACTATAACTTGAAGTAAATATGGCTAGATCGTTCATCGAAATCAAAAACTGATAAAATGATTTATGTACCTTGGTGTAGTCTACTTGTGTGCCAAGTTATGTTGAATGAAACATAAGGAGATAATAAACATTGTTCGCTTTCAAAAGACCGTTCAAATACTAGTAATATCGTAAATCTGGAAATTTTTACGTCGATTTTATTTTGCGAATCTGGGTCAAAATGCTGTTGATTAATTTTTACGTTTCAAAATTTTGCGAATGACCGCTTCTTTGTTTACATTTTCTTATTGTTGAGTTATTTTTAAGAAAAATATTTTTGCGAATTCAATGAACTCGCAAATTTGCAAAAAATTTATCTACAGCAAAAATTTCCAGATTTACGGTACAAATCAGGAACACGACAA